ATGGCTGAAAGACATATTCAAACTGTCAAGCGAATGTTAGTAAAAGGTGTAGTTGACAACAAGGATCCATATTTAGTTTTACTGGAATATCGTAACTCTCCTATTTCAGATGAAATTAAGTCACCTTCAGAATTGATGTTTGGAAGAAAAGTAAATGGATTGATGCCTATAAAAGAGAATTTTGTCCAAGCTAAACGATATGAAGACCATAAACAACATTTACTGAAGAGACAAACCTTACAAAAAAGTTATTATGATAGGAATGCAATACCATTAAAACCACTGAAAACAGGAGATCATGTTTAGATAAAGAGAAAGGGAAAACTAAATGTAAGAGGGAAAATTATAGAAGAAGCAGAAAAAGACCACGTTCATATAGAATTATAAGAACAGATGGAAGAATTGTAGAAAGGAACAGAAGAGACCTTCTTAAAGAACTAATCAGGAAGAGTTTTGCAATACAAACAACTATGAGAATGAAGTTATAGATGAACCCGAGATACATGAAAATTGTAGAAGCACTACAAATTTAGATGTGCCTGTAAGTCCTTTAAAATCTACAGAAGTGTTGTGTCACCAAATAGTGAAAAAGATGTATAGTATCATCAAATTTTCCAAATGGACATAACTACGTCACTCGATCTGGTAGGACTGTTAAGAAACCTTATTATTTAAAAGAATATGTTTAATTTTACTACTATTATTATTTTTTAAAAAAGGGAAATGTTATATATGTAATTGTAACTGTATCTATTATTATCTTTAATCATAACTGTAATATAGAATAGTAGATGAGCAATGTAGAATAAACGATGTTTGTGTACATCTTGTAATCATCACTGAGCACGTACCCAACACATATAAAATACAACACAGGTGGTTTGTTTACATTCTTTTTCAGCAAGACTTTTTTCGAGACCAGACTCAAAAATGTATGTATGCATGTACATCTGTGCACACACATACAAACGTATGTACACACATATACATATGCTACATGAACACCTACATCCGCACATACAAGCATATGCACATACATTTCTGAATTAATCTCCTGAACACACTCTTTATGTATATAATGCTTCTATATGCAATTTTATTGAAATATTTAGCTACGCATGACAGAAAAGTTACACATGGTTTTAAGACGATTTTTCAATTTCGTTTCATAAGAATGTGATTTTACTGCTTGCATGCATGATTTATCTAAATATGTTAATAAAAATTACAAGAAATTCTGATTATTTGTGTAAACTTCGTATCTGTATAAAATGGTCAAACATTAACAATTTAAAACAAGAATAATATTCAAATATTATTTAAAGTCCTTTATTTTATATAAAGTTTTAGATATCTATCAAAGAATGATAGTAATTAATCATCAAACGAAATAAAAAAATAACTTTTTCTTGACATTCTAGCACTACATGGAAAGCTACTGTCTAAGATCTATACATAGGCAGTTTCGGCCACGTATAATCAGTTTTTACAGGACTAGAACATACGTTCATTCAGAGGATGGTTCAGGACCATATGGCACTGTCTTGTCTGCCTATTGGTTGCAACATGGTTAGATATGAGGCGTTTTCATTGGGTCATTGGCTCTTCGGTCCTCTGGTGCACTTAGTAGATGGAACAACACATCAAATATAATCATTGCAACCGGACTGGTACCCAGTTGGAACTTTTATTGACTGAGCGTTATCGTTCGTACAATGTTATATATATAAAGCCCGTAGGAGACCGCGGGAGTTACGTCCGCCTGAATGGTCTCCTGCAGATCTGAGAATTTTTTCTGAAAGTTAATCCAGGGCAGGAGTTCGTCTCCAGTGTTCTGTTTTGCTCTCCATGCCTAGGAGTTATGGATATTGTAACAGACGCCGAAAATTCAAACCACCTTTCCTTACAACACTGTTTTTTTAAAACTACACGTCTAGAGTATGTAGGTAAGTGATGCTGAATGGTAGAAGCTTTCAACTAATTTGCAGTAACTCTTACTATCCCACGATCCTTCCCAGAAACTGCCATTCTAGCTCTGCGTCTGTCCTTTTGGTGATTCTGAATGCCTTATTGTAATACTTAGTAACAATACAGTTCTAACTGTATTACACTCTTGTCAGAATTCTGGTTCTCAGGTCAGACGATGCATCAGTAAGATCAGTCCGTTCCCATGAAAGTGGTAATGCAGTCACTGTCGAATTTATTCATTTGGATTATATTGAGTATTCGGATACATTCTCATTAGCTAATGCAAACAAAAACTGTGAAATAAGTAGTCAAAGTTATAGAACGTTGACACGTTAGTCGATATGCTTAACTGAATAAACCTTGCTCAGACAGTTTTAAGTAAGACAAGAGAAGGCTTATATAAGCACACTGCTTTTTTCGGGAAATGAGCTTGTCCTCACCTACACTGCTGGCCATTAAAATTGCAACACCAGGAAGGAATGATGTGACGAACGGTAAAAGCACGTGAAAGGAAGAAGAGATTTGGTATGCAAATGGATTAGAATTTAAGCGCATGCAGGAGGAAGAAAAGACATCTGACGTATTGCAAAAAAAAAAAAAAAAAGTTGTATAGTGGATTTCTCATTCGGAACGCGCTTTGTACGGCCAGAGTTTTCTCAGAATATAGTGTTATGCCTCAAATATTAAGACGAAATTCTTACCAGCAAGAGTCGGAATTCGGTAGAGGCAGGATTGTTTCCCATAGAGAGTGTGGATTATCGTTCCGCGATATCGCCCGTCGCACTGGTCGACATCCAATCACTGTCATGCGAATATATAATCAATGGGTTGCTGAGGGTCATACTGAACGGCATGCAGGATCTCAACGCCGTCTCCTGACTAACGCTCGAGAGGACAGACATATTGTGAGGTTAGCCTTGAAAAAAAAAAACCGCACAAACACATAACGAACCATTAGTTAGGAAATGGGTATGTTTGCAGTACGCCGAGTATCCGCTCTCGTACGGTGCTTCGACGTTTGCAGCAGAGCAGTGCTTAAATTGCACCGGAGCCCAGCTCTGGTACTTCTCAATTTTTAAGATAAATTACAATTCTAGCCGGAGTGCACCGGAGCCCTAAATAAGAAGGCTGCGGCAATTCTTTTATATAACTGAATAACAATTTCCGTAGAAATTTTAACTCGAAAATTTTATTTTTAGCAATAAAATTATATTAAAAATCGCTTATGACATTTTAATTTGTCGCTTTACATTTATTTTAGTTTTAATTATTTCAATAAATAATAATTAATTATAATAATTATCAATTAAATTATAATCAATTATATAATAATTGTTAATTGAAAAAAAATCTATAAACTTTAATTAAATAGCTATTAATTAATTTGATTATAATTAACTGTTTAATTTTAAAATTATTAATGAGTTTAATAGTCATTTAATTTATTTATTTACTTTTATTGCTCTTTGCTGGCGGTCTTCCATAGGGCTCCGGCACTTATAATTTTAAAATTTAAGCCCTGCAGCGGAGTGAATGAACTATCAACACGATGATGACCGCTACTTTGGCTTCCCTTGAAAATGCAGCATAGAGAGAGACTGTGATTCTGGTGCACCAAACGACAAAGCTGGATAAAAAGAATGTCACAATGTTGTCTTTTCAGACATGTCCCTGTTCAGCGTGCGATATTCTGATGGCCGTATATGTGTCTGGAGGCAGCGAGGAGACTGCACGTCGTATGCCATACAGTTTACGTGCAATAAATATCTTTTTTGTATTTGCTTTTCTTCACAGTGTTGCTATTTTAATGGCCAACAGTGTACTACTGAAGTGTTCCTAACCGAAACATGTTTCGTTGAAAACTGCGTCTCGCCTAGCTAGCGAGATAATTTTATACTTAAATGAAAATGTTTCGTTTGAAGCACTGTTTCTCGTTTGATTTCTCCAAAGAACCGGTTTTCGCATAAGTCAACTGATCAAACAAAATTATATATTCGACGTTGTATGCATAGACGTTCTTTCTGCACCTTCCCACGCATTGACCGTATTCTCAAATTGCACATTAATTCTTCTAACACTACATTTCCTGAATGTTTACGCCAGCCCAGAAATTTTATGAGTCATTCATTTTAAGTAATATAGTCTGCTTCTTATTCGATCTATTATTTTTCTTCCAGTCTTTTTTAAATTGCTAATTCTTCATCGATTTAATACATAGCACTGTTGATTTATGTCATAGTGAATGAACTTCATTGCGTTTTTCTGTGATTACATTTCGCTTATTTTGTGACATTGCATCCCCTTTTTTTGCCAGAAGCAATGAACTGTTTGTGTTTTCTGAAATATAAATCCTAGATAATTCATTGCTATGCAGCAACTTGATCAATATGGTTCAGAACCGACTCACTTGTGCCAAGATTCGAATTTCAAATAAGCTATTTTTTACTGTTATGCTTAAGCACATTAAGGACACTTGAAATCTGTCAGTCCAAAAGTGCTCTGATGTGGATGATAGAAAGGAAACAAAAGTGTAAACCACAGGAATCTGTCTTTTCGGGTTTTATGTATCGAATCTAAGAAATAATTACCTATACTGCTGCAACATAAACACCACAAGTAACAGGTATAAAGTTGCACTATTATGATTATTCAAGATCTTTCCGCATGTAAAGACTCAGAATAAGTTAACACCACACTTATTGATATGTATAATATATAAGCAAAATGATAATCTCCTTTTCATCGAGTTAGAATGTCATACAATAAACAGTCCGTGTTTAAAAGCGTCTAGCTAATTTCCTGTTCTTAATCCCTGGTCTTAATTGGGCTCAAACACTACTCCTGCATATACATGCAGGAGTAATGTCTACATGAGAGTGGAGTAGGTCAAACACTACTCCTGCATGTATATTTAGTTTATTAAATGAAAACTTTAGTTATCTTCCCTTTTTTAAGTGTATTATGTATCAGAAACAGGTTTGAAACATATTCACATAGATATTAGATTTTTTTATATGTGCATATACAGTATTCTTTATTAGTTCAAAACTGAACTTCACAATATCATCTTCTAAGACACAGGTTCCCAAACTTTTCCATGTCTAGCAGTTCTAAAAAATTATATTCTTGCAGCCCCTAACAAAGTTTCTAGGGAGGGTGTGGGAAAAAGAAAACAGTTATGTAATCAAATTTTAATAATAAACAAAAATAAAAACAGGGAACTAAAAAAATATTACAAAATTTAATATTTGCATAAATTTTTCAAAACAATAATTAATAACTATTTCTGTTCCTCTGTATTGGATATTTTTTTTCAAATTGTGGCACTTTATTGTTAATAGCAATTCGCATATCTGCTTGTGCATCCAAGCGATTTCTGAATTTTGTTTTGATTGACAAAAGAGCATACTTCACAAAGAATTCCTTCACATGCAGAAAGGCATCTTTTTCTTTTGTGATTGTTTTTCATGTCTTCACAGAACAAGACATCTTCCATTATAGCAACACTATGCTGTAGCACCAGACAGGATAGTAGTTAATGACGCTGCCTACCATACCAAAAGGTTCGAGTTCAAATCCCAAAGAAGGCATGGATGTTGTAATGTAAGTGTGTAATGGTTGTTTAGCAAGGAGCACTAAAAGCAGAAGGTGAGGCGAAATCCTTGAGAGGTTGGTGGTAGGAGACTTTCTGACCACATTCAGAGCATTCTTCCTCAAAATTCCATTTGGGTGGAAGCTTAGTACTTAGCAAGGCCCAGCAATACCTAAAGTACCCACCTAGATATACAGGTGCTGGTTTTCCTTCAATCTGTCAGGTACTAAAACAAGCTTATTTTTGTTGCCCATCAGTTATTATGAAGGGACAAACAAACATAAGCTTGATTTAGGTAATTCTGATTATAGATGCTAAAATATACATTATGAACATAAACTCTTTAGAACAAAACAATTTCAATAAATATCTATTTGATTTGAATACATTCAAACATCATATATACTAATATTTTCAGATTTTTTACCATACAATGTTTACAAGAGAAGGATTCGGGAGACAATTACAAATTATTATTATTTTACAAATCTCTGAAAGCTTTTTATCAGTTTCAAAATTATTTGAATGAAACTATTTTGAATTTACTTAAAAAGTCATATTTTCATCCTTTAACTGAGATGCTCGCATGTATGTATTCTGACTCAACACAAATTCAAACATTAAAATAAAAATAACATCAGAAACATATATTATAAAATTTAATTCAATCTAATACATTATTACTAGATGTAAATTAAAGAGTATCTAAAATACATATGCAAAATCTGATGTGCACATCACATTACTTATTAAATTATACAAAAACTGCAGATTTTGAAATTTAAAAACACTGCTCAGTCTTTGTCACATGGGAGTCAAACTTCTCATAATTTCATTTTTTATAATGAGTATAAAAATGTCCCAGATATTTTTGCAGACATAAGGAAGCTGGAGATCGCATTAAAATAGATTTCGTTATTTGTCAAAAATAATTTTTAAAAAAAAGTTTTACATTGCCAAAACACAACTATTTTCATCATTTAAAGCATTTCAATGATAATTGGGAGTATAGACTAGGGCCAATGATTGTGAAAATTAAGGCTAGGTAAAGGTGTGTGTGTGTATATATACACATTTGGTTCTGGCAATTACAATAAAAAGAGAGATGCACAACTATAGCAGTCCCATATACAACAAACATTCTACGGCTAATCTTTTTTAGTTATGTGAGATAAATACATATGTATGTACAGACATCATTGAAAAATTCCTTTTGGAAAAGAAGTCATTTATTCTGTGCGTATATACAGATGTTATGCAAAATTATGCATGACTGTTTGCCAGGAAATGCTCCAACGGTTTGAATGTTGATCTGAACCTTCTGGAGAAAAAGGTGACTGGTGATGAGACCTGGGTCTACGAGTACGATCCTGAGTCGAAGTATCAAAGCTCAAAATAACACACTGCTTCCTCTCCGAAGCCCAAGAAAGCTCGCATGAGCAAGTCGCGTGTGAAGTGCATGCTGATTGTTTTTTTTTATTGTGAAGGAGTGATTCACAAGGGTTTGTTGCTTGTGGACAGACTGTCACAGGTGACTTTTATGTTGGAGTGCTCCGCCGCTTGAGGGATCGAGTCCGCCCGGCGTCTGGATTCTGCACCACGACAATGCACCCGCCGACGTTTGAGGTCAAGTTCAATGTGATAACACTGACGCAGCCACCCTACAGTCCCGACTTGGCTCCAAGTGACTTTTTCCTCTTTTCCCGAATCAAGACAGTCCTAAAAGGAAAGCGATTCGACCCCATCCAACAGGCTTCGACGAGAGCCCTTGACAGCATGACACTCGAGGCCTTCCAGAAAGGGCTACGAACAGTGGAAGGCACGCTGTGTTGATGCTGAAGTATTATATTTTGAAGAATTTTAGTCCGCTGTATTTAAATGTCCAATAAATTTCTATTTCAAGGTAAGTCTTTAAACTTTTGATTCACACCCTGTATAATGATTGCATTACATTAAGATATATATATATTTCTTACTTTGACCTAAGTGGGTCATCAGCAGAAAACTGAATATTGAACTGAGCTGCCCAATATTCAACTGGGACCAATCCATTAAAATGGATTCCCACATGCCAGCTCTAACAACATTTTTCAGTCCTTTTTCTGAAAATGTGCTTGGTTACATGATAAAAGCTCTAATTTATTGTCCTTGGAAAGTTAGAAACAATGTCTCACCTCAACTGACAACACTGTTCTATATTTTGAGTGAAACGTTTTCGCCCTACAGGAATCCAACCATTAGGATCTGGATGAGCAGATTTCCTGAAAGGTGGAGGAAACATCTTGTTTACCGTTGCACAAAAAGAAATTTACCAATTCTTTAATAATTCATGAAATCTCAAAATTACTAAAAAGGAATAACTGTTATGAAAAATGGATGCCGCATAGGGTACAAATGATTACGATTCACCACTAATGAATTATCATTTACCTCAAGAAAGAAGACAATTCAGAATTTTCCTTTAGGTTCTTTTGAGTAACAGCTACAGATGAACATTGGTGAAATTCTCTGTTCAAAAAATTAATTTATATGAAATGAAGAATAATAATTTAATGAAATGTACACGACTTTCAAAAATATAAATAATAATGTTTGATTAAGCATACAAGAATTTATGATTTACCTTGGATCCGTTTCATAGTTCAAAGATGCTACATGCTTTGGTGAAACCAGGCAAGGCTTCCTATGGGAGATAGAAGCATTATGTTTATGAGTAATTTCATATCCACATCCTAAGAAATTAATCTTGATAAAAGCTCTAATTTATTGTCCTTGGAAAGTTAGAAACAATATCTCACCTCAACTGACAACACTGTTCTATATTTTGAGTGAAACGTTTTCGCCCTACATGAATCCAACCATTAGGATCTGGATGAGCAGATTTCCTGAAAGGTGGAGGAGGAAACATATCTTGTTTACCGTTGCACAAAAAGAAATTTACCAATTCTTTAATAATTCATGAAATCTCAAAATTACTAAAAAGGAATAACTGTTATGAAAAACGGATGCCGCATAGGGTACAAATGATTACGATTCACCACTAATGAATTATCATTTACCTCAAGAAAGAAGACAATTCAGAATTTTCCTTTAGGTTCTTTTGAGTAACAGCAGCAGATGAACACTGTTGAAATTCTCTGTTTAAAAAATTAATTTATATGCAATGAAGTATAATAAATATCAATTTAGAGCAAAGAGTTCATGAACAAAAATTTATAGATTCTGTAGTACTTCATGCATTTGCATAAAAAAGCTACCTTGTTTGAAGTTGCTGTTCAGTTTCTGAAGGAGCTTTCACATTCAACTGTGATGGCAGTTTCCTGTGGAATAAAATAATTATGATTACACTTTTCTGCATTATTTTGTAAACAATTTTAGAGCATCAAAGCTAAAGTCAAGCTGTAAAATGCACTGCAAACTATCCTGTAAGCTGTTTTTTTCCCTTTATTCTGTAGCTTATATATGTTACTGTTTAAATACTATTTTTCCATAAGCAATTTATTAAATAGAACAGCCACACAGATTTTGAGGTAAGTTTGACAGCTATGCAAAAATTAAGGCCATGGGGGATGCGTTTTCTCCCCTCAGCAGTGATGATTCATTAGAAGATGCTCTCCTCTGCAGTGACTTTAGGCAATATTTTCAGCAATCAGAAGATTAACTGCCTAGTAGGCTGTATTATTTTCTTAACAAATATTAAATGAGCAGCTGGTAAGTTATAACATATATATATATAAACACTAACAATAATGCATATAGTTAATAAACTCAGCCATTTATGACGTTCAGAGATTTTCAGAAACCAGAAGAAATACATACTAATCACTAGCAAAAATGCCATTTATTAAATTAAGACTGGCAAAGGACTGATTCTTTTGTACCAAAATATCCTACATGTACATATAAAAATTCTCTGTACTTCATCATTCACTTTCAAATTTGCCGTTATCTTAATAGATGCGTCATTTGCAGCATGTTAGAATCATAGGACAAGGACTGATTTCAAAGTGATGCACTTTAAAAAGATTTATTATAAACACACACAAATATTTATCTGATTGTAATTCTTTGTGCATGAAAGTGATCTGTAGTCACAAGGTTAATGTCTTTTAAACAGCTACAGTTTGAAACAAATTGATGTTTATCACCTGTGTAATCCCAACAGAACATATAAGACAAATAAAATTTACTTGCCTAATTTTTTATTGTGAATGGAAAAATTACTTATTTTCCAAGAAAATATCTCAAGCTTGCCACAGAAATAAAGAATTTATTTCAGAGTTTGGCAAAGTGAAATTTAAAAGTGTGTTTATTATCAAGTAGATTACATGCAAATGTGATTTCTTGCATTGTAGCCTTCAAATAACATGGGAATGGATAGCAAGTTAAACTTTTTTTGCGTGAAACAGAACTTTGCACTGAGTATCTCTAACCATATTTCTACAAACAGAAATAATTTTGCAGTTGAATATGGATTTTTTTTTATAGTGTTTGAACTTGCATGAGAATAGTTGTGTCATCAACAAAGAAAATTTGAATTTTACAGTGTTGGGAAGAATAATAAGCACATATATAATAAAATAAGGAACTCAGTCTTGGGCCTCTTGTTCTGTAATCTGCCTCTGCACTGAAATGATCCATGACAGATAAAAATTCCTCATTAAAGAAGCCACTACATAAGCCTTTGAGAACATTAGAAATTTGAATGTTATTGACTGGGCGATTACGTTCTCCAGCTGTCACAACTAAATGCAATAGCTGCTTTATCAAGGAAGCATTAAGTTTTTTCAAGAAAACAATATACAAGTTGTATTCTTAGGCATTGAATTTTACTTGTCAAATTTCATTACTTTAAAAAGAAAAATGAATAAAGATTTTGATAGTTCAACAGTTGTTTAGTGTGATTCCGAAATTCACAGCTTGGCTGACAAACAGATTGCTTAAATATTTAATGCCTTGCTGTAAAAATATTTCTTTGTGTTTGAATTTCGAAGAAGGAAAGAAATTATATATATATACCTGGACAGAGCTGATTCAGCAACAACTTCAGAATACAGACGAGAGGCTGAAGATGTTAAAATATCCCTGCCGCCATCACAGAGAGGAGGAAAATCGGAACTACTCTGATATGCGCCCTCAAGTCGCCAAATATTTTTGGCGAGAAACTTCACGCTGCCATATTACTATCTAAATTTTTTGTCTACATTTTGAACTTTTAGCCTAAAATGTCTCCAAAAACGCGGTTTTCGCACATGCAAAAACTACATTTTGAACACAGAATTTAGCTAAAAATCCGAAACAAAAACAAAAAATTTACATAACAAAAACGTAAAGTTTCTAACCAAAAATATTTGACAAGAATCCATGTACACAGCGACATGTTATAACTTAAAAAAACATCTACGAATTGCACAATGTAGGCAACGAGCGAATCTACAAACTACGTAGACCTCGCTTTAATAAATTAACATAACAACAATAAATTTCAAAGAATACCATGTACACAGCATCCTGTTTAAACTTTAAAAAAATTCTACGACTTGCACAATTCAGGCAAGGAAGGAATCTACGATCTACGCACTCCTCGCTTTAATAAAATAATATAACAACAATAAATTTCAAATAATACCATGTACACAGCGTTCTGTTTCAACTATAAAAACATCTACGAATTGCACAGTCTAGACACTAAACAACAAAATAAATTTCAAACAATTTAAAAAAACAACAATAACGACAGAAATTCATACTAAAGAACCAATTAACATAACATTCTATAAAATAAGAACAAGGATAAAATAAAATGCACTTACCATGAATTAATGCGTTTTCGACTAGCAGAAATATAAATTTCATACCGCCTTTAACATGCCGCCACGTAATCACTATCGTATTTACATAACAGCCAGACACACTATCCAGAAAATTTATATATGGTTCACAAATAAATAAAATCACAAATCCCTACTTCTATCATGCACTGCCATTAAAAATAATCTTCCAGACCCTCTTTCCACAGTTCCAAATACCCACTACCCCTCAACAGGGTAGCCACAATCATATTTCCTTTTGCCGAACTCTTCAATTCAACAACTAACATTTTATCTTTCCCTCCCGTCTTCTCAGACACAGAGGCGAACCAACGAGCTACAGCGAAAGATTTTTCAACGTCAACAGGGTTACCATAGAACACGCAATCGCGCCAAAAACTAGCGCAGAACACATATCGCCACATTTGGTGAAATTAGGGCGTATATTAGAGTTGTACCGGAAAATCCAATGAACTTCGAAGCTCTATTTTACTGGTACTTTTGGAACTCTCAGTTAAAAGTTGCGTCAAAACTTGAACAAACAGTGTAGCTAACTGCCGTGTTCCTGCTGCATTCAAACGCAGCCCATCCAGAGCCATGCATCCACTCCAGTCACGAGATGACATGCAGAAGGTTACATTATCCAGCTCTTCACAGAGATCAATCATTTTTTCATTAAACTGAGAACTCTTGTTGTTGAGCGCAGTCGAGGTCGCAATTCGTCTCTCTCATTATAAGTTAAATACTTCGAATCCACTCTGGGCAAAATTCCTGATATGACTACCCGCGCATACGGATTCACTCTACTCACTTCCCGAATTAAACTTTTATATTTTAAGACACTCTCATCCACAGTAGAATCTATATTATTGGTCCCTACATGAAAAAGAATACAATCGTATTCATTAAAGGATGAAATTTTTTTGGTCAATCTTTCTATTGTTATGCCCGGAAACGCGAGAGCATGCAGTTTATTATCATACAGCTGAGACGGTAAATATTTTTACACATATTTAATCATGGAATCACCGGTTATCAGAACCTTTATAGTCGATTACAAGTTATAAAAACTTCAAAATTACAAGCCCGTTACACCACGCCGAACGACCTAATATTAATAATACTACTACGAACAAAAACAGATTGAACAAAAGCTTGGCTACTTTTGAACAATGCACTTGGCTCTAAAATTTATTCTGGTAACCTTACATTGCATCAGCGATTTCGAAAGGCATCATGGCAAAAAGTACACATTTTTCGGTAAACTTCTGGTATCAGGGACTCAGTTATCTGTAAAATTCGTCTACTTCGTCTGTCTGGGTCAGATCATTTATCGTCCTTCTTGGCGATATTTTTTGGTTAAAATTCCGGGTGGGCTATACTGAAGCTGTGCCAAAATTAGTTTTAGTTGGTATGTTGGTGTATTTAATTATGGCAAAGCACACTAGGGCTATCTGCCTAAGGGAGGGATGCCTTCGTGGAGGACTTTCTAAGGGAAACTGGCTCGTATACACGTTACACATGGGGAAAACCACGAAAACACCCATGCAGCCATCCCGTTCGCGGGATTCGAACCTCGGAACGAACTACCAGTGTTCAGAGACGTTACCGCTCGGCCGCTGGTGGGCCAAAATTAGTTTTAATAAAAAAATTCTACGACTTGTTTATAAAGTTAAGACTTGTTATAAAATTCTACGACTAGTTTTATAAATTTTATCCTTCAGATATCTCTAAATTACTCTCTCTCTCTTACTCTCTTTTTTAAAACTATTTTGGGCACTGCTCGGACTGCCATAACAAGCTTACTGTTGCGCGTCTTTGTAATATTCTACTCCAATAGTTATTTTTCTGAGTGAAGTGAAATGATGTAATTTCGTATTTATAGTGTGTTTGTTGTTAAACAATGGCGGGTGAAGCAGAGCAGTCGAATCGTAGTATCCTAGACGACGAGGACTTTTCTATGAATGTCCTTAACGCTTATGTGAAAGACCAGATACAATTAGCTAGTGATTTGGGAGAAGAGAATAGAGCAATGAACACCAAACTAAAAGAAATCTTTAAATGTACGGTTTGTGAGGAAGTGCGACGTACGCCTATATACCAGGTAGATTGATAATACTAAATTTGAGATGTTCTTTAAAGTAATTTTATATGACAGCATCCAAAAACTTCCTAAAATTATCTGAACTAGAATCTGTATACTGGCATTGCCACATAAATTCACAGAAATAAGAATAAAAAATATTCTTCTTAGAGCTGATATCGTTCGACCGTAAACGCACTTCCTTCTAACAAACAGGATACTTAATAATGGCTACTAAGTAAACCTTCATTTACGCACCGGTCAATTAATGCATTTTCCCATTTCATTCTAAATCATACAGAACTTTAATTTAATATTACCACATTCAGCCAATTTGCTGTGTACACTACAAATTAACAACGTACTTGATCGAAAATCCGACGCACACTTTCCGGATCTTTTCCCATGATTCAAATTGACCATAATCATGCAACCAATTATGTCATAATGGAATTTCCATAACATTCAACTACTTAGATTACCATAAATAAACTATTACTTGGTGATAAATGAAACAACAATTTTGCGATAATACAAGGGGTACCCATCTCTGTACTCTAACCATTCATAACATTTTTCGGAACTTTAGAATTTCATGGGCAACCCATAGTGCTTGGAGTGTTAAAGAAAGAATAATGATAAAAGAAATTAAACATACCCTTTTGTAAGAATTTCAAATTGTCTTCCTGAGAATTATGGAAATATGCATACTTATTTTCATTTGGAAGGGAATGTATTTCTTTAATTGTTTATATTAGGGAAGTAGTAGTTATCTGTTCTTTTGATTAGTCTTATGTCATCCCTCTATACTGCATACCTACATGTTCTAGTCATGAAACCAATTTTCCACTCAGTGGACAGTCTTTCTTATCCTTCACAATTTTTTAAAATAAAGATTTAAATTACTACCCATTTCATTATTTTGAAGAATCACACTATTGAAAGTTAACCATATACATTTTAAAATTCTATCTGTCAAATTCAGTTAACATAAATTGTAAACTATTTACAATTTAACTTTTTTCAGATTATTTTTTAATGAACATTATACAGTAACAGGAAAATGAGAAATAATCAAAATAATCATTTTATATTTTTTTAATCTGAACTGGAACCTTCAGAGCATTGGGATGCATTATAATTTAGGAGCTAACTTAAAAATCTCTACTTAACATACATGATACCATATAGCACAGGTACGGTATTTTTATTCTTGCATTTGTCTCTAGGTGGTAATATTAAAATGTCAGTGTGATATAGTATATCATACAGGCGTAGCAAATTTCTATCTCAGCAGAAAAAAACTGTGTGGAAGACATACTAGGTTTCTTCTGCTAAAGTGAAAGAAATTAACTTTTGCACTTAATTTGTATTTATATTATAATGCATATATTTTATTTTTATGTAGCATACTACTAATTGAAATATTTTAACCTCATGTGTATATTTGCAGTAACTTTCTTTGTTAATCTTTGTGTCTGCGTGCACGAAGAGACAAACACACATGGCAGTGTGTCAAAATACAACACCAATTTATATAATGCATATATTTTATTATTATGTAGCATACTACTAATTGAAATATTTTAACCTCATTTGGATATTTGCTGTAACTTTCTTTGTTAATCTTTGTGTCTGCATGCATGAAGAGACAAAGACACATGGCAGTGTGTCAAAATACACCACCAATTTAACATTTGGGATTATCACATCTAGTAATGCATGAGATTAGATGAAACATTTCCAAAATAATTTCTCCCCAACATTAGTTTAAAAAGTATTTATGTATTAATGCTGTTTAGGAATTTTTTACTGATGAAAAATAAAAGTTCCATATTAGATGGAAGCTAGTGGTTTTCATGACTTTTTTTAAGAACTTCCCAACTTATCAATGTTTATCATAACTCAGCAAAACATATCAACATATGAAACGTGAATACACTTATCAATTTAAAATACAAATTTTAATTATTCTATTAGTATTGAATGATGCATTAAAAAACAAAAAACTCACATTTTCTGGGAAATCCTTCTGCAGTGTTTTCCGCTGTTCTTTCCATAAACACGACAATATGTTTCCACTAAAAAAAAATAATAATAAATAAGAGAATATCGCAAATTTGGGCATAGTACACCATTTATCTACGAAATGCTTCTTATCATTGTTCCTTTTAGTGATTTTGCTGCATAGTACTGCACTACTATAGGAATTTTACCACAGTTTCTTCCACTGCTGGCAAATTCTACAAATGCCTATTTTAAAGTTGAGTTTTAGGCAAAAATTATCAAGATTTTTGTATAAAAACTGCTGGAACTAGAAATACAAGAAGAAGAATGCATATGAAAATGGTGACATTGCTTGACTGAAGTATTTTGTGAGCATGACTACCACTATTTGGCTGCTTCTACCAAAGTGGTTGTGATAATGCATAAGTACTGTATAAAAGATGAATCCAAGGTAGTCCCACTGGAATCTGTGCCCAGCCTATGTGTGCAAGACATTTTGTGACTCTGACGTAAATGTTTTGCTGCACATGTGCACATCTTGCAGGAGTCATTGAAAAAAAAAAAAAAAAAAAAAAACATTTTATGTTAGTTAAAAGATTATACATTCTGAAAGCTAAGATTCTAGAAAATGTTTCTTTTGGTACACTGTTAAGGGCAGTTAGTAGATCTAATTGAGTTTTAAAATGTAGGAATTTAATCCTTAAAGAAAATTGTAGGGTGAATTTATATTGGTAACATCTAGTAACCCTTCACTCAGTATTACTGCTCATGCAAATTTGTGATGCTGAAAGTTACTTTGCAGCTCTTGAGCTTAGTGTCACTCTCAGACTGTTACTGCTAGTGTCTCCTTCTAAGCTGTCCCATTATTTTTCATAAAAATCTATCATTGTATTAGAGAGATGCAACAAGATGCTAACCACTATGCTTGAAAGTGTGTATCATTTTGCAGGAACAACAAGTATATAAAGGGATATAGATCAGCCAGCAATTCAACATAGCCTGAACTTATTCAGCATGATGAAATGGCTCAATGAGGACCACATAAAGATGCTCTAGATGGTTACACTGCTATCATTGTCCTTACATCTCTCTGACAGGAGAAATGCAATTTATGCTATACATAAATTCTGACATTCCCCTGCAGCAGTTGAAATCTAAATCTGTCAAATAAGATATTGTGTTCCCAGTCTTCTACCATCCAGTGGTAGTGCAATTCAGCAAACTGCAGCCACATCGATTGACGTTTTCTCATTAGGTATGGAGATGGTAGTTGCTGATGAAAAGTTTTTGTGCTGATACTGGATGAAGCATTTGCATTAAAACCTGTTATAATGTGATTAAGTTTGTGTTTCTTGCCATCAATATGGTATGACTAAGTCTTCGGTTGCTGCTTTATGGTTACATTTGGTATAATTCTTGTGATATTTTCACTAATTGATCAGCAATGCTTATGGCAGTCCCATGAATTTTTTTTTAAATACAGTCAAAAGTTGTTAATTTGGACACCCATAATCCGGAATGATCTATAATCCGGACCTCAAAGCTAAAAACTTTCTGCGCATGCGCCGCGTTGACACATACGCATAGGTGTTTACGCCTGCGCATAAAGACCTTTACGACTGCGCATATGCGTGTGCGCAAGTCACAATACGTTTTTGCGTGCGCGTTTTATGTATAACGGACGGTATAAGCTAAAATTATCTATTTCAGTTAATATTGATGATTGCATTGTTCCTTAATCTTCGAATTGGATCCGGTTTATTATTTTTTGCAGACTGTAAGAGCAATTTTATAAAAGTAAGCTTGAACTTTCGATTATGTCAAATAGGATTTCCGATGCTGGAGCTGCCAAAGCAAAAGTATGTTTCGATGTCCATCAAACAAAAAGTGGAATTGCTTCAAAAAATGGATAAAGACATGACGAAGGTGACAGAGAGGTTAGTGAAAACGAAAAAATTTCTATTGCCAAGTTAGATCAGAAATTTATGCAAGTGGAAAAATCTGAACTATGAGTATTCTACAGATATTGTCATGCCACAGAGGATTTCATGGGTTGTTAGATGAGGGAAAAATAGCTGGATCTCCTTGCTATGGGATTGGAATATACTGTTGCTAACCTAATGATTTTGAGCATGAATGTAGTCCAGAAAATTGTCAAAAACTTGCATTTTATGATGAACAATTTGCATATCATTGCAATTTATCATGATTCATGTAATGTTACTTAAAAAAGAGGTTGGAAGAGATGTATTTCAAATAAAAAAGTGTAATAAAAATAACAATACATAATTATGTGTTTAGCTATTTAATTAAAACATAATTATACTCATAAATTAATTATAATTACAAGTAAAGAATATGCAGTTATGTAGTACAGAAAAGAATACTTTAAAATATTTTCTAAAAATTGTTTCCCAACCTGCACTTTCAAACCTAAGCAAACTTAAAACATGTTGCAGAACTCCTTATCACAATCATTTAACCAGAGGCAAAGAGCAAATGTGGTTGTTATAAAAATATGGATTTCAATTTAAATTTCTGAAACAAAAAAATCTGATTTATTCTGAAAAAATTAAGAGATTGCAATCTTAATTCTGAGAAAGATTTAATAAAGATTTATGATTATTGCTCATTTCTCATACAGTGAGCAATAATAATAAAATTTGTGAAATTAAAAGAGAAATTAATTTTTTGTATTATTGAAATTTTTCCCATTTGATAACTTCTGTGGAAATTAATAAGGAAATTTCATTTGTTTGCCCACACAGCTGCTAAAGATTACATCACAATAAAGTTACTGACCATTGAACGAAATTTATTATTAAATTTGTGTAAAATTGATAAACAAGGTAGGGATTAAATCTGTACCTTTTCCACATTTTCATTCACAATCTCGTACTGTTTTTCTAATGAACTGTCAAAATCGTAAAATTTTAATCATCAAATTGTAACATTGGATTGACTTTGGACAGTAGTGGAAGAGGAGTGAAAAAACATGTTATTGTAAACTTTAGTAGTTTTTATTTGTGAAATTTAAATGTAGACCGAATAATGGAAAAAAAAAAAAAAAAAAGGTTCATTGGGTAAAGTAAATCATTAAAGAAAAAGGTATTTATGTTGAAATATTTGGTTACAGTGCAGAGAATTAATTCTAAAATGTATAAATTTTCTCCAAAATTATTAAAGTCCATTTTTATAATAAGTAATGTGCTATAAAAATTAGTGCTATCATTTATTTTTATGTGACATTAAATTTACCAAAGCATGAAGAAAAGGTTAAAAAATAATACTGTACTATATAAATTCTCAGAATTTTGTATATTTATAATTATTTTTGGGTTATACTGCATTATTAGTAATTTCTCCTTTTTTAAATATGATTTTTACAGTATGAAATTAATTTATATTTTAGACCTTTTTTTTTCATTTTGTTATATTTCTTTTCGTTTTAGTGCAAGTATGGCCATCTAATTTGTGCTGGTTGTTTTGGAGATATCCTTTTAGAAAGTAGAGTTCAGAATGAAATTGCGACTTGTCCTGTTTGCCAAACTACAATTAATAAAGATCTTTGCTCACGTAATGTTGCTGCAGAAAAAGCCATATTACTGCTTCCACGTAGATGTAAATTCTGTAATAATGAATACAGACTTCATATTCTTACGCAGCATGAAAGTGAGAAATGCAATCATAGGTGAGTTTTTTTATTACTTTTTGATGCCGTGGATTAAAAGTGTGTTGGTATTATTTTTAATTTCTGATCAAAACTCTGAAATATTTTTATTTCAAGCAATATTTTTCTTTATTCTGATTAAAGAATTATTGTAATTAATTGAAAACTACATACAGATACTCCTTTTTTAATGACAACATGGACTTGTGACCATGTTTGTGATTTGTTAAAATTTATGCCACACTGCAGTTTTGCAATTTTGACCCTAAAGAGTTATCTTTATGTGTCAAAATTGCAGTGTGGCCAACCTTTCATGTTGCATATTCTTTCTCCATAAATGTCATTTCTGCAAGATGATAGGACACAATTTTACAATGACATTCACATTTTCTAGAACTACATATTTTCTCCATAAAATTAATGTTTTATAGTATAAATACATAGCCCAAAATCCGGATGTCCAATCTCCAGAATGATCTATAATCCAAACCTCTGGATCATCAGCAACCTTTTTGTTAAGAATTTTTTTCTTTTTTTTATGCTTTATGCTTGTCTATTTGATATTTTGATATTTTTTTGTAATAAAGCATGTGGAATGTACCAATTTTTAATTTCACTTCAGCACTGATGCCAACCTTGAAAATCATTATTTTTTACTTTCATCATCACATGGCTATTAACACACTGCAGCTTGAGAAATGATTCATGCAGTGAAATTTAACACTTTTTTAAAAAATTTTTAATATTAGTAATGTAATACCCAAGAGCATGGTAACCTTTTATGTTAACCTTGGTGTTGATTACAAACTTCAGCTAATTCTGCTGTAAAGTATTGAGTGTGTTGATGAGGAGAAATTTAATTGAATTTATTTAATCTTTCCATATGCCAAAAATAAATTTTAGATAAATTCATAGGCCAAATGATTACATTTACTAGTGTTTTGTTTTGAGAATAACTGATTTGGTATTAAGCCTAAGACTGGCACCAAAGCTGATATAGCTGCATTGGATGGCAGAATTTAGGGAAGACAAAATATGGTACTAACATATTATCCTGTTGACAACTGGTGGAAATTCCGGCAATGGTTGCCAGTTGTTACTGAAGAATTGTAAAGGATATAGTCTTCCTCAATTAGCAGTAAATTATGCTACTTTGCCAGTCAGTGGGGTATTGCATAAGTACCCAATATTTTTAGAACCATTGAGCAGCAAAATTTCAGACTTGCAGAGACTGATGGCTGCAAAATGCCTAGTGCTAACTCTTAAATTTGTCAACATGCAATAGAAACAAGACAAAATTTAGCAGAACTACGTCTAATGTTGCCAGTCTCATGGTACATCACCAATAGTGTACAACAGATGCTTGCAATGCTTTATGATGAAGACTCAAATCTGACTGTTTATAAGATGTCTTAAGCAAAAAGTGAAATATTCCAATTAATGGAATTAGGGAAGATAAAAGATATTAAGAGAGAATATCTTAGATTTTTAAAATAAAAGATAAATAAAAATTTAAAGTTTTAAAAAAATTAAATTAAAAAAAAATATTTTTAAAAATTAATAATTTTTGTATAAAATTTTTTAACATAAAAGAGGTTTTTCATTGTGATGACAATGATCCAGTTATCAGCCAACTAACGGACAGTGAAACCTGTATTATGGTTTAGTCCAGAAAATATTACTACCAATAGAGAAGAAAGTGACAGAAAAGTTGTTAAAATGAAAAAAATTTCGATTAACAATTTAATGGAAACTCTCGATGCGGCAGTTACAGTGCTTGAACAACGGAACTTTATAACTGAACAAGAAATTATGTCTATCTATAGAATTAAATAGAACGTATTAGTACACAACTGAAGCAAGTTAAGCAACTTACACTGAAACAAATAATAATGAAATAAAACAAATAAATACATACTGAACTTTTTTATGAATCACTAATTTATATTTTTAATTTTATAATTTCTACATGTCATCTTAACTAGATCTAAACTGACCTAAGATTCAGAAAAATCCCAAATTTGGAATCGTTGAAATCATGACTAATTTAGATCTCAGACTCTCTACTGTAATACCAATAATCAAAGAATGTAACATCATCTAGAAAAATACCAAAAATAAAAAGAAGGATCATGATATTAAAAAAAATGAATAAGTGATTATGAACTTAGTAAAAAAAAGTTAAAATATAGATTTTTGATTGCACTCAATGGCTTTGATGATTTTTAAACCTCCGAGCGTTATGGGTTTAGCCCTGAAATTTCAGAGTTCCTTAAAATGACCTGAGTAAATGGTATTTTCTTCATTATAATCAACTCTCTCACTTTGAACTTTGATTCATTTTCTTTCAATATATATCATACCCAAAACCAGATATATTAAAAGCTGGCCAGAAATTTTCATGTGTAATGAATAAGAAAGCCACATTTCTGTATGGAATTTTGCATCTATAATGCTGAGAAGGTTAAAAATAAAGAACAAAAAAAAAAAAAAAAAGCAGTGAAAGCATATACTGTTAATGACATTTATTATCTTTCGATGCTAAACTGAAAACTTGGGAGAGATAATTTTTTTCTATGATTAATTTTGATTGGTTGGTTTCAGTGATTTGGTTTATGTGATTAAAATATTAGTGGTGATATGAGAATATTGTTGAAGCGGCTGAAAAAAAGTGTTGTGATTAAATTGATGATATAATTCAGAAAGAAGCTGCCATCTTGAATAGGTATTCAGTATAGACCTTTGGAGAAAATGCCCCTGGGTTTAGGTAAAAGCATTTATGTTTTTAATTTTATATATGTGTTCTTAGAAACCACATGCATTAAAACAGATTCATAAGCATATGCAGCCAAAAGTCTTTAATCCGGACTCGTTGGGACTTCGGCGATTCCGGATTATCTGTTTTTCCGGATTATAGATCATCAATTTAAATCTGGTAAGATGGCATGCAGAAATTATACAATTAAAATTATGAAACCATAATTTATGAAATAAAGAGCAATTATGATCTAAAGGGTATCAAAATTTACAAAAAAAAAAAAGCTTAATATTTATTTGTTTACTTTATTAAACATTTCTTTTAATATGCGCGGTGTAAAGCATACATTATGCATAGTCGAAATTAGAAAATTGCAACCAGAAAACTATTTGATGTGTACTCGTGATATTTATAATGACGAGGAATTTGATTTAAATCATATCAAAGACAGAGTACATCGAGATGAAGTACTACATTTAGTAAGGAATTATAAGCCGAATAAAATAAAAGATAAGAATAGCGCTGATAGATCGACTTCGAGTTCATCGCATGCCGTGACCCCCCCCCCTCGCAGAGCAGCGTGAAATTGATAAACAGATTTCGGAATGGTTAGAGAAACAAAGGATATGCCTTTATCCATTTTTTGGCAGCAATTCCACTTTTTATTTGATGGACATTGAAACATGCTTTCGCTTTGTAGATCCTTTGGCAGCTCCAGAATCGGAAATTCTTTTTGACATAATCGAAAGTTCAAGCTTACTTTTATAAAATTACTCAAACAGTCTGCAAAAAATAATAAGCCGGATCCAATTTGAAGATTAAGGAACAACGCAATCTGCAACATTAACTGAAATAGATAATTAGATAATTTTAGCTTAGCTTATACTGTCCGTTATACATTAAACGCGCATGCGTAAACGTATTATGCAAATGCATAAATGCATATCGCATGCGTAAAGATATTATGCGCATGCACAGAAAGTTTGTAGCTTTGGGATTATAGATCATTCCGGATTAAAGACTTTTCACTGTATTGCTTATTTAGTGTGGTGCAAATAATAATGTGAGGTTTGAGACTTGCTTAATTAGTAGTCTCTGCTTTATAGTGTCACATGAGCAATATTATTTGCATTACCTTTAAAATTATCTTTCCACTTGATAATGCCTTTGGTCACCTTAACTTTTTAATGCTCTACACTTGCATGTAATTTTATATATGCCTAAAAATGCAGCTGCTATATTACAGCCCATGTTGCTGGGTAGTAGTTATAGTCACAGCTTCCTCTTTAAACATAACATTTTCCAATGCTGTAGAAGGAGCAGAGATAAATGAAGTTAACTCTTTTGATTTAACAAAATCATGTAAATTCGACATTGTGTACAGAACTTTGAATTAGCTGAGAGAAGGATAGATCAGTTTATGCAAGTTATCTACACATATAATAAAAGAAAGAGTCTGTCTGTGTGTGTGTCTTTCGTTCGCATTGCGCTAATAGACCCACGGCTACGGAATTTGGTACATAGGTGCATCTAGACAAGAACCAGTGCACTTCGATTTTTTTCGAAATTAGAATTAGAATTTTTTTTTTTATTTTATGTTTTGTGACGAAATCGCGTCATTTTGAGACATAATGGGCTATAGGAAAGTGAGATTTTACTCTACACACTCCATTTTCACATCGTCATGAAACATAGGTACTTAGCTATTTTACAAACTTAAAATAAATTCCGTGTTTCAGTAAATCGATTAAATATGAATTTATGTTAACAAAGTGAGCTTAACTCCTTTTCAACAGGGATTTTTCTAAAAAAGTTTATTTTTAAAAATGTACAGTTTATTTTTCTTAGATTTTTGGACACATTAAACTTTTATCCTTGTGACTGCTTTTACAAAAAGAATTTTGGAAAAATGATAATATTTTTTTTGTATTTTTAAAAAAAATTTTTAAATGAAGCTTCCGAGTACACTTCTCACATCTTTAAAAGTGTAAGTTTGGCAACAATTTTACTTTCTTATTGTTGTTGATAGATTTTTGATGAAATTGCATCATTTTGAATAGTTTCATTCTTTTAGAAATATGGGTTTGGAAACAATTTTTCATCGTATTTCTTATGTCACTGTATTTAAGAGATTGGCATATTTCATTGTCATTTATATATATATATAATACATTTTTATTGATTTTTTTTGATAAAGTTTGTTCTGCAGAGTAAAATTCTGTGAAGAATTTTTTTTTTGTTTTTTGAGTTTTTTTCATGTTAT